CTGGCATTAAAGCAAAAGGTGATGGCACATTTGCCTTGTGAGAACATCTGGGTGCAGAATTTAAAACCTGAAGGAAATGCTCTTGTTGTTCTAAGGAATGGAGGGAACTCAGAAAGGATGATTAGGGGTAGAGGCAGATCCTGCTACCGGACTCTGCAAATTTGAAGACAGTGCATGGGGGAGGTGGTAGGATTGGGAGACACCTTGAGCCTGGAGCCAGTGCCTCCTGAATCCCACCTCTGCTGGGGACATGCACCGGGAGGGCAGGAAGGAAGCGACCACACTGTTCAGTCCTGGGAGCATGGGGCAGGCCTGGCTGGCTATTCCCAATCTCACCTGAGCGAGGTCAATCTGCAGCCAGAGTACTGCGGGCCCACACTGGTGTTCCTGAACAGGGGATCAAGCTGCAGAGGAGGAAGGAGAGGAAATCATGTGAGAGACAGGGGCAAGGTGGTCATTGGTGGGTGGGGCTACATGAGTGGGCGGGGCTTGGTGAAGTGGGCGGGGTGGGAGATGTGGGCGGAGCTCTCACCAGGCCCTGCAGCACCTTCTCTGTGGTGTTGAATTTCGCAGATCCTGGCGGCTGCATGTGCTCCCTGTAGTGCAGGTTGGTGATGGTGAAGTTCAGGGTGAAGGTCACCAGGGTAGGGCCAGTGGCTGCAGTGGGGGAGGGAGGCAGAGATGTCCAGTTTGGGCCACAGCAATAATGACCAAGGCTGCTGTGGCCCTAACCATGGGGCACCAGCAGGAAATACTCTGGAATTCCTGAGACTTCAGGAACTTTTGTTATTCATTCAGTGAGAATTTTTGGAGTGCCTATTTGTGCAAGGTTCTATGCTGAGCTCTGCGGGTTCGAAGATGAACAGGGCATAGTGTCCCAATGCTGTGGAAGGGAGGTGGCCTTCAGGGGAGCCTGGGTGGAGGGTGGCTGCAAAAGTCTAGGAAAGCCATCGAACCAATGACGGAGGAAGTATCATTTCAGGTCTGGCCAAAAGCATGAGGAAGAATTAGCTTGAGAGCAGCTAATCAAGTGGGGAGGGCACTCCAGGCAGAAGGAACAGCCCGGGCAAAGCCTTCCCCAAGGAGGACAGAGCATTTTATGATCTAGGCATCATATGGTCTTTGATTTAGGGACACGGATGTGAGAATGGAGGGTTCCCTGGAGTCTACAAGAGCGAGGCAGCACAGGGGTTGGGATGTGAATTGTAGAGCAGATGGAGTCATTCAAGGGTTAGCAACAAGCCTGCGATGATTTGGGCATAGACACAGTGGGAGGGAGAGGAAGCTGCTGTGTGGAGAACACTAGGAGGCCAGAGCAGAGGCTACTGCAATCATCCTAGCAGAAAGGCTGGTGTCCTGAATAAAATAGAGTGATGCAAAAGCAGAGAAATGAGGGGCTTGAGGGATATCCCGACAAAATAAGAGGTGAGATTTAGTGAGGGATGTTGTGGGAGGGTAGCTGGAGGAAAAATCAGCGTCAGTGCTTTGCCTCTGCCTTTGATGATGAGGAGGAAGGAGCAGTTTTGGAGGATGAGAACAAGCGACAGAAGTGACTTCCAGGAGGTGGGTGTCCCAAGGGCCAAGAGCCACAGTTTGGTCTGGGCTGGACCCAGGATTTGGATCCTGAGCAACTAGATGGACCATGGAATCCTTCGTCATGGTTGAGTTTTTCGATGTGTGGAGTGAGCAATGAGAGAAGAAGTGATCAGGTATGAATTCTTTTGTACATAGGATTTGGGCACCAATGACAGCCTTTTTACCTGTGGGCTTGGCGTGGGGTGATGCAGTCTGAGAGGATGGTTTGAAAGAAGCAGTGGCCATAGCTTCTGGGAAAAAAAGAAAAACCCCACAAGGAATGAAATCCACGTTGTGTTATACCTTTAAGGGAAGGCTGGTAGTGGTGGAGGCTCTGCTTATAAAAATTTGTACATATGCCCCATTGACCCTGAAGTCAGGCCATTGTCCTCAAAGTTTGTGTGTGTGGAAAGGACAGGTGATTCCTGCCACCGACAACTGGGTACATTACTGTCTTTTTTTTTAGAAGGTGTCTCAACCTATTGCCAGGGCTGGAGTGCAGCTGTGGGATCATTGCTCAGTGTAGCCTCAGAGTTCTAGGCTCCAGTGATCCTTATGCCTCAGCCTCCCAAGTAGCTGGGAGTACAGGCGAGCCCCACCACATCTGGGTAATTTTTAAAATTTTTTATAGAGATGGGGTCTTGCTATGTTGTCCAGGTTGATCTGAAACTCCTGCCCTACAATGATGAACCCACTGCCAGGTCACATTTCTATACACCTCCACTGGCTTCTTCCCATCCAAAGGGTGGGTAACAGGAGTCAGGGATGGCCGTTTGATGGGCTTTTGTTTCTCAGGAGAAGAGAGGCATGTGGTCACAGACACAGAGAGATCTGGAATACTCACTAGTGCTGGACGTGCTTGGTGCTGGATGGGTGTAACCTGCAGAGACAAGGAGAGGAAGGGGCAAGGGAGAGATCTTCAATGAAGAGGCAACTCCAGTTACTGGGAGTTGATGGCTGGAAAGATGGTCCATTGGTGGCCGGACCATCACATCTGAGAGTGAGTGAAAGGAAGACAGTGCCCCCTTCTGGCAGGGATCAGAGTCCACCTCCTGACCCCAGGCTTTGCTCAAAGTACTCTGACGGGGCCCACATGGGAGTGTCAACTAGATACAGAGACTTCCACAGCAGAGCCCACCCAGTGAGGAAGAGGAGACCCACACCCCAGCATGGCCCTGCACCATAGATGTTGGCACACTCAGTGCAGAAGCTGGGGAGAAATCACCCCAAGTGCTTGGGTTGGAGACTCCGTCATCTTGCAGATGCTGGGAGGAGGTGCCTACATGTAAGTGTTTTGTGGGGTACAGGTCCCTGTTCACTCAGGGCTGGAGGAGGGTGGGGGTGCACAGTGGAGGCAGTGGACTCCCGGCCTCTTCCATCCCTAAGGGATGGGTCTCAGCTGGAAGCAGCTTACGGAGATGTCAACACTGTGAAGTCTCAGAATACTCACTGCTCGAGGCTGTGGGCTTCCTCCTGTGGGTGTAACCTGCGCAGGTTGGGGGAGAAGGTTTGAGTATAGGGTGGGAGGAGGGAGAGAGAAGAGTAAACAGGGAGTACGTGG